CAAACTAAAGGCAACTGTAATAAAGTGTTATATGTATGCAAAAACACCAGTCACACTCACGAGCACATATGTGTAAGAGCGAGCACTAATACATTTACACTTAAGTTTTACATGTCCAGTTGATAATAAAAAAAAAAAAAACACACTAAATAAATAATTAAAATATAAAAACATCGCGTACCATTTGTTTTATAATGTTTAATTTCTGTTGAATTCGTCTTATTTAATTACTGTGCGACGTTTTACATAGTACGCGCACCAATTCAGCAAAAGAATTTCAAAGATTTCTACACAAATAAATTTGACTTTTTACTTTTTGTTATGTGGATGCGCTGGAAAAACCAAATTCACACAACCAGAGTAAATGCAGACACGCGAGACAATGACAGCGCAGCGACGACCGCAACAACGCGACGACATGGATAACAACAGAGCACAGAATGGTAACTGAGCGAGCAGCGAACAGCTGCAGCTCGAATGCGCTCTGCTCGGGCCTCGAAAATGCATGTGGGGTCACACTTACACTTACACACATACTACATATACTATACATACAAACATATACTATAGAGCGCGCGCCAGATGCGTGCGAGGGGGCGGTACATTGCACCCACAAAAATAACAGCACGAAAGTCTCAATGAGAGCGTAGGTATGAGTGTATGTGTGTGCGCGCCGAAGGCAGAGCGAACGGACGAGCAACTGAGTGAGAGTGAGAGAGCGCAAGCGTTTGACAAACAAAAACAAATGTCGGCATGGAACCAACTAAAATTCCACTGCTGCGTTTAAAGCGCCACCAACACCACCACCACTAACACTATGAATGGCTGTATTTACATACATACATGTACATATGTTTGCATTCACTTTTTAACTGCATGCATAGTGCTGCCAGACAGTTGTAATTTTATGTCAGCTGTTTTTCCCTGTGGTCAATGTTTGCATTTGTTGTTATTGCTGTTAACTTATTTTCAACAGCAATCCAGACACAATCTAACTGTAAACGAGAACTCACACACACTCATAGTCAGATTGACTCATGTACATTTTTAATCCATTTTAGACAGCTAAGAACGATAGCTACAACGCAAATCAAAATCAGACACCTTCCGTCTTCCCCTTCAGGCAATTAGCATGGGYTGGGCAACTTTATAAGCGGAGAGTGGATTGTGGGCTGTTGCACTCTGCTTCCAATTAGACGTCTAGCGCTGAGTCAAACACACTCTTACGCTAACCTTCGTCTGTGTGGACGTGTGTATATGTATTGAAGACTTCAAAGAAGTTCCTAACACTGGTCATTAGCTGGGAGCTAGACTGGATGTGAACAGTTACGACAGTGGGGTCGACGTCAACGAGTTTATTGCACTTTTGCTTAAGTCGCTGTTAACTTGTGTAAAAAGACAAACAGTGAGACAAGTTTGGGGTTGGGCTAGCAGCCACTTACACTTTTAGGAGCGGTTAGGGCATGAGAGCAACAGCGTGCAACGCCAACAAAGGCGACATTTTGCTCGTGACAAAGAACCAACTTGCTATAAAAGAAATCATAAAAGGAAATAAAT